AGCAACAGCAACAGCAACAACAACATTATTATTATTACTATTATTATTATTACTATTATTATCATTATTAAGAATGCACAAAAAAGCAGAGAGCAAAAACAAGCAAAGCAAACTGGGGACCCAACAGGCCAGCAAGAGGGTTACCCCCAACGCCGCAGGGTGAGGAGAGGAAGCCGGGGCCAGGTCTCTCGAACCTCAGGGGGCAAGGCTCCCTCTGCATTCTTCCGAGGCTCTGAGGCCGCAGCTTGGCTTAGTGCCTGTGGTGCTTTTCGGGACACCGGACGTCTGTAAAACGGTGAGCAGCGATCGCCGAAATTTTCACCACTACCGACTACCATGCACAACCACCAGTGAATCTGCATCGTCGTCAGTATCCTCATCATCACCACCATCATAAGCAGCAGCCGCAGCAATGCTATCTTGTCCTGGATTCTTTCACGTCCAGCTGCTGACATGAGCATGATCCGAACTGGTGGCATGGGCAACGAATACCAGGTGAGTTCCACCGCTGCCTCTGCTGCACAACCACCACCGTTTCAGCCACCACCACCATTGACCATATAACACAAGCATAACAACCACCATCATCATCAAGATCATCATGTTGGTCTTCTTCATCATCAACAGCATCGCGTTCAGCACCAAGTACACCAAAGGAAGATACGACTGCAGCATCGTCAGCGTCGACATCACACCAGGGCATAGCTTTATATGGCTACTGCTCTTAATGAGCTGACACAAGTACGCCCTGTTCGCGGTTCTGAAGCTTGTCCTTGTGTATCTTGATTGAATTGGCATTATGTTGACTGCCTTCCTTGTTGTTACTGCTGCCGCAGAGAGTCTTGTTCAGACAAACAAGAATATGATGATGATCCTCTGCGTCGTCTTCAGGTGTAATCGTGATCACGATTGCTGTTGAGCCGGCAATCACCGGAGCCCTGGCGGAGACGTTGAGGGGAAGTTCGGCGGCACAAACCTTTCCGTGCTGCGCGTTTAGGCGGTGAGCGATGGCGAGCGACGGATTTATGATTTCTGGCTTCATCACGACCTGGAGCGATGGCATGATCAGTCATGGCTAAATTCTCTGCGAGGGCTCTGCAGCCAAGCCCAGCGACAACAGCTGAGGTCGAACTCCACGGCTCGACTTCCAAACCCTGCAGACTCTCAATCCTACGTAGCAACCACGATGAGCTCTCGGCATGTAGGGTGACGCTCCCTGCCAGGCAGCTCGCCTCAGACATGATGCAGGCTTGGTGAAGCCTTGTTGAATTTAGGGTCAGGAAGTGGAACCCAGCAATAGGCGAAACAGTTCATACGAGGGAGCTCCTGATCATGCGTTGGCCCATGCCGCGTGGTCCCAAACAGTACTCAAGTGGCCCGGGCTGTGCTGGATCCAGGGCGTGCTGCATGCCAGGGATTTGCTGCCTGAGCGGCATTGTGGCTGGGGCTTTCAGGCTCTGGTTTTGTTTTTCGGTCGTGTTGTAAGTCGGCGCGCAGAAGGGTTCGGCCTGTTTACGTTTTTCAGCAGCATCCAATTCTCTGAATTCAAACCGAACATGGGAGTGGACTTAATCAGGCTTGTGCAGTACAAGCCAGATCAACACCAAGAAGATGAGGACGACAACAACAGCAGCAGCAGCCGCGGCGGCAGCAGATGCAGCAGTACTAATGCCAGCGATGACAGTATCCTCCCATATCCTCCCTGGGCTGCATACTCCTCGCGTCCGAAGAGCGGTGCGGACCACGCCGACGCGTCGCGGCGGGCGGCGGCCTCCGCCGCCTCAGCAGTTCAACAGACCATAAATCGTGTCGCCGGTAGATTCCCGGTATATGATATGATATGATATGATATGATATGATATGATATGATATGGGAATACATCTGACTGAATAACAGAGGCATGTGCTCGGGGAAAGTGGGGGCTTGAGTTGGTCTGTCAGGCTTTGATGCCGCTTCAGGGAGCGATGGCAAGCTCCTTGAGGCCCTAACCGCCCTAACTGCGTTCGAGTCGAGCAAACCCACGTGCCTGCGTCACGAGGTTCAACAAGGTGCCTGGACGCGTGCTCTGGCATGCATGAGGATCGTGAGTGGACAATGGCTCGAATTTGTCCAAGCAAGGGTCCGTAGGCCTTGTGATGGGAAGCCGCCGCCACCGCCGCCAGCGCCGCCCCCGGCTGTCTGCGGATGCATCGGCCGGGAGGGTGCAGGCCCGAACCTTAGAACAGAGTGCCCCAAGGAAAAGAGCAGACTCCCCCCCCTCTCCTAAAATCGTTCGACTCTTTCTTGGGGCGCGCGCTGGGGCTGGCTCAAGAGGCCTCCCTGAGGGCCGCCAGGACCAGGGCCCGGAGCCGGGTTCGCCGGGCCCTGGCCCCCCTGCCACGGCTGTGCCGGGAACCCGGGACCGGCCTCACAAAAATGCGCACACAAACAAAAAACAAGTAGGCTCTATATCTATATCTATCTATATCTATATCTATATCTATATCTATCTATATCTATATCTATATCTATATCTATATATATATATCTATATCTATATCTATATCTATATCTATATCTATATATATACATATATATGTAGAGGGCCTAAGTAGAGGGTGCAAGAGTAGGGTCAAAGGATGAAGTAGCGGCGCTGGGTGTCTGTGAATCTGCACGTGGTATGAACGTGCATGGGAGAGCGTGTGCTCTCAAAAGAACCGGCGGGTCCACCTGGATGTTGATGGTCATCGGCGTCCTGCCGAAGGATTGGGTCAAAAAGTGACATGACTGGCCCTTCCTCGGATAGCCAACCCTGCTGAACAAATTCAGCTTCTCGCTCTCGCCAGGGCAGAGGGATGCTAAGGGTTCCTTGATTTAGCCGTCGCCACGCGTACACGCGGTTTGAGGGCTGGCCTGGATGCAGGAGACGCTGCAGATGTCGGAGAGGCTTCGGACCTGGCATAGCTTCGTCCGGCTGGGTGAGGCTTTGTGCGGGTGCGAAGGATCCAATGATATCCGACCACGCCCTGAACTCTGGAGAAGCCCACTCCACCACCCACCCACTGCAAGAGCTCGGCAGGGGATTGCTTGTGTCAACCTGAAAAACCGCATCACTGCAGTACCCATTTTGACATCAGCTCCAGCGCTGTTGTGGCATAAGCACGGCATGGCATCTGGACGAGGCCCATCAACTTTTTTCAGACATGCAGTCGGAGGACCATAAGCGGTCATAAGCGATGTAGCCGGGGGGTGGATATTCCACTGCCGTGCGGTGGTCCTCCGTTGGGTACGGAGGACCACCACACGGCGATGGAAAACCCAGCCCGGCCATTGCTCATGGTCCTCCGATTTTGCATCGTTGAACTCTGCGAGGCCAGGCTGTAGACAGGCAATGACGATGGCAGTGTTTCCTTGTCCGCCCGCTTGAAGGCTGGCTCTTTCATGCTGGCGTTCTTTTGAATACAGCGTGAGCGGAGAGCGACAACCTTAGCCAAGCGGCAGCAGCGTGGCTGGGTTATCGAAACAGCCTTAAGCCTTAAATCTAAGATTCGACACAAGGTCGTGCATCAACTGGGGATCGTTCGCAGTGTTGCGATTGTTAAAAGCCTCAGGAGTAGGAGAGAAACCTGGTGCCGACAGATCCGGCTCCGACAAGACACGCCGATGACTGTCGTGCACCGGGAGACATTCGCGCCGATTTGTGTAGCGAGGTTCTGCGGGCTTCTTAAACCCCACAGTTAAACCTTTGCATTCGCATCAGTATGGCAACATGCCGGCACCACGACTCTTCGCCACGCCTGTGAACAAATGCTAGTCTTCCAGTTCCACTGAACCCCAACGGAAGTTTCTCCAAGCACGCAGCAATGATTTCTCGAAACTGATTCTCCGATCAAATCAGGAAGCACCCTGAAAGGCAAACCTGATGCTAGAGGTGCAAGAGCCTGCAGCCTGAACCTCGTTTTGTTGAACCCCAGGCTTCAGGCTCCTAAACCGAAAGCACGGCTCAAGGCTGAGCTCTGTTTAGGCCCAGGCCGATGCCCTCGACCCACTGCATCTCCTGCCCAAGCGTAGGGTCTCTCTGTCATAAAACCTTCCGCTTAGGGTATAGGGGTTAGTCAAGTCATAAATTAGGATGTAAGGCATTGACAAGAAGGCTTCTGGACTGAGGCCACCTGGACACGTGTCGCCCAAGCAAACGAATCATCAACCCCTGAACCCCCAAAAAACGCCTTCCCTCCCCACATAGCCCAGGCGCGATGCAGACAAACCCCGGACTGAAACCACTTAACCACGAACCCTGAGCGGTGCCTGCTGGCGCGGCCTGAGCACGAACGGGATAAGCAGACAATGAATCACATGGTGCGCGATCGAAACTCGAGAAGCCGAACCGCTTAACAGGCTTAACTGCAAAGAGCTCTGGATGCTGCACTGCAGCCTTACGTCCAGAAATCCGCTGCAACATGCACGGATTTACGTCTTTCCGTACTTTCAGCAGCACTTGCACACGCACACACACACACAGACACACACTCACACACACTCACACACACACACGAAATAGAGAGAGAGAGAGAGAGAGCGAACAAATAAACAAATAAATATATATATATATAAATATACATATATCTATCTATCTATCTATCTATCTATCTATATATATATATATTATTCTCTATGTATAGAGAGAGGATAAAATAATTGTATATTTTTATTGTGGATTTGTGCGTGCCTTGTATCTCCGTGTCTAGGTATGTGTGGCCCGGAACTCCCCGAGGGCGGCAGGCCTGGGTGCTGGAGGCCGCGCAAGCATCCTGGAAAATCTTGGCCTTAGGGCATCAGATGATAACAAGGCACATACAAATGTACTGTCTATTTGTATATATATATAGAGAGAGAGAGAGAGAGAGAGAGAGAGAGAGTGAGAGGGAGAACATAACACACATATATATATATATATACACACGTACAGTGTATATACATATATATATACACACAGGAGTGTGAAACTTTGACTGCTCGAGTTCTTCGAGGCCCCGAACCCCAAGACAGAAGTTGGAGCTCGGGCCAGCATTCCCCGTCGAGGCTCTGAGTTGAACAGGAATAATTATTCAGCTTCAGTCTCAGGCATTCGGCACTGCGGCATCATAGAAGCAGTAGAAAGATCGACAACCAGTAACTAGAACCATTCGCAGTACAGAAGAAGGGGAATAGTGACGTCTGACTACTGCCTCGCTAGGCTTCACTGCTCGCGACACGCCCCTGAAAAAATCAAAACACGCCTCAACTTGGTTTCCGGCGGCCTGGACGAGGTGCGTCGGCATACGGCCGACCCGACCACCATCCTCGCGACCAAAGGGGATGGGCTGAATTGGGATTCCGGGGCTCGGTGCCTGACTGCAGTTCATTGCTGGCGCGACCACTTAGAACAAACGCATCTGCTAGACCCCCTGCAGATTCTGAAGAGAATGACCGACGGGAGTCCTCCTCTCCGTAGTCAGTGACCAAGCTGCTGTGCTTTGCAAAGGGTTCCTGCTTTACCAGCTCTCAGCAAAGGCAACAGGAGGGTCGCCGGCAGAGGAACAAGTTCAGTGCGATGCTCGCTACATGATGTTACATGCTGCACCTGAAATTATGCAACTCATGCTCGGGCCTCTTGCAGTGACTGAGAAGGAAAACATCTGACCAACAGGCCCCCAAGAGCCATTACGAAATCTTTTGTCATGCAGCACGAACGCCACAATCCAACTTGATCCTCATCCCCATTGTCGGTGACGATGCTGGCGTGCTTCGCAAACATAAGCTCCTGAGCAAATCCGGCTGAAGCAAAATCAAACAGAGGCTCTCTCCGAACAAGTAATCGCAAAGCGAGTACTCGCGCGCGGTGCGATTCGCCTCATCCTCGTCAGAGTCAGCGGGACCTGTGGTCAGTTTCTGCACAGGAGATGAACTGGGGATCCGACAAACATGGGCAGGCTTCCTCGAACTTCGACTTCAACGCTACGCAGACACGACGATCATGGCCGTCTCACTTCTTTGCAGCTAGTTACCCTAATCTATGCGACTGAAGATCTCTGAAGCTGGCGATACCAGTACACTGACGCCAAAAGTAGCTAAGGGTAGGGGGCAAACTGCAACTCTCAGACTTGTGAACAAGACTTCCCCACATGCTGCTACACCCGTGCTGCTAAGTGAGACGGCCCGTTCCCACGATGCAGACCCCTGATTAGCGGACCCGATTCTTTAGGGATCTAGGTCGGAGGATCCCGGCCCTGGCCTTATCCTTTCAAAGGGAAGGCAGATTACTTATCCAGGGCTTGACGCTAGATTACGCTAGTTAGGTCCGTTTTGGGCAGCCCAAGTTTTCAGAGGACCGACTACTCAGGGCGGTCCGTTCCGTTACGACTCCCGCCCACCAGGCCTTTGGCCAACCTTCCGTTGCTGTTCCGCCGACCCCCGCGAGCCTTGGCCAAATCCGATGGGTTACTCCGGGCTTTGGAAGGAGGTACTCCACACACTCAGGTTGCTGACGGGAGAGACCGTAAAATCCGTAAACAAACCCGAAACGTTCATGTAGCCTTGCAGGAAAAACGCTACGTGCTCAATCCAACCCAAAACTCCCAGCAAAAATACTCAAACTCTGGAGAAGATGGATATGCCTGAACAACCCTGCAACCAAACCCAGCATGCCCAGACCTGCAAAATGCCGAAGCCCGCTGGATCCTGAAGCTTGAAAACAACAAGTGTCGAAAAACCTGGCACTATGAACACAAGTCTAAGCAAGAAAAAGAACACGAACATGGCCGAATTCTCAACCGCAAAGAAAGCTCTTGGAACACGGCCCCGGTTACCTGGAGGTGCTGCATTCCCCCCGTGGCGGCCGGCCGCTGCGGGGTCGAGAACCAGCCCTGGTGTAACAGGCGAGGCACGGTGCTTTTGCGAGTGGGTTTGGGGGAATATAGGGAATTCAGTGGATCATCAAAGGGTTAGCTTGTATTTTTCGGTGTGTGTGTGTGTGTATGTATGTATGTATGTATGTATGTATGTATGTATGTATGTATGTATGTATGTATGTATGTGTGTCTGTGTGTATGTGTGTCTGTGTGTGTGCGCGCTTGTCATCTACATTTACAGAACACATTTCGAAAAATGTGTGTGTGTGTGTATATATACATATTATAGATTGTGAATAGTATCTGTGTGCCTGCGGGTGCGTAAGGCCACCATTATCGGTCTGTGTACCTCCAACCCAAGGCTAGTTATAACTCATGCTTGCCCAAGAACCTCCAAGTAGGGGTTCTACACTTTTTGTGAAGTAAACTACTTGCATCATGGCAGCTAGGAGGCCTGCGCTGGATTTCGGGTGCTGGCAAAGGATCAAGAGGGACTCTAGGAGGCCTGAGATGCCTTCTTTGTTTTGAGGCCTCGCCACTTAGCCAGGAGGCTTTTGAAAACCACGAATCCGAATCCTCTCGGCCTCGTCTCCGCCATCGGTGAGGATGCTGGGGTAGTGGGTCATCATCATGGCATCCTGCCCGCAGATCCGTTCATCGGCTTCGCTTTCACTTCACTTCGGGGCTTGGAAGTCTGGTCGGGACCCTGGGCCCCAAAAGGCCCACCCCTGTTTATGTGCCTTGTGGGGGAAGTCAGAAAGAAACACTCCTCCGGGGGCCAGTTGAAGAACCTATGCCGTTCATCGGTCCTCTCGCTCTCTCCCTCCCGGGCGTGGGGGTCGGTCAAGACCCTCGAGCTTAGAGCCCACCCGCTCTCTCTCTCTCTCTCTCTCCGGGCACAGGGGCCGGTCAAGTCCCCCGGACCTCAAGCCCACCCGTCTTCTTCCACAGTCGAAGGAGAGGGAAGTTCCCCCCCTTGCACGCGAGCGCGCGCTGTCCTCCTTTGACTCGGTGAAAACTACTGTAACAGATGAGGCTCGCCGGATCGTAACTGTTAACCCCCCGAACACTACCTAATACCCCAAAACCCCCAGCCTCATCTGGCGCAGGCCAGCTCTGTTGTCGCTCTGGCGGCTTATTGCCAGTTTACATCACTCTCTTTCTCTCTGGAAGCCCTGGTCCCGTCCTGTGCATCTCGTGTGGAAACAGCTTAAAAAAACTACTGCATGTCGACACCGTACTATAAGAATGGTGGCATCTGAGGTCGGGACATAGCGGGCTCCGCAAAAGCCAGTATTTAGGGTTTTGACATGAGCAAAAAAGCCGTGAAGTCAAGGCGAGGCCTGCACCTAAAACCGTAAACTGCACCCAGGCCTCCAGATCCTCGTCGTCGCCTCTCAGACGCTCTGCGAAAGAGCTGATGACGCTTCCCATACCCCACTAAGAAAAACCAGGACCAGCCTCGGCCGAGCTTGATGCCACTGTTGCGCCGGCCCTCGCTGATTCACCATCACAGTGATCGACACGAAGTCTAATCTTCTACTTCGAGTGTCGGTGCAGTTACGACAGTGATGTTGTTTTGATGATGGTGATGGGATTGATGGTAATGGTGAACCAAGGATGAGGAGGCGGAGGAGGAGGAGGAGGAGCAGGAGGAGAAGGAGGAGGGGATGAGGGGAATGATGATGATGATGACGATGATGATGATGATGGTGATGGTGATGGTGATGATTCGGTGGTGATGATGATGACGATGATGATGTGGTGAAGATGATGATGACGACGACCCTGGCTTTGCTGAGGATGACCACATCGACGACGGTCATGAGAAGAACAGCGGCGACAACCGGAAAAGGACTTGAACCATGATGACCCAGAGTCTTCAAACTGTCAAAGTCCAGCCACACCTGTAACAGTTGCCTGCTTGGCCACCTCCCAGATGCCATGCATCGGGCTAAAAGCGTGCCCCCAAAGCTATCCTTTGTGGTGGCTTTTCCGCTGGCAGGTGCTCCCTGCAACTTAACGCGCGTTTCCTTGCGGTTGTCACAGCTCCCGAACACTCAGCAGCAGCATTTCCTATGCTGTCATCCTACCCATCTTTGCCGACCATTTCGCATTGGTCGCGGTGAAAGACTGGAGCTCCGTACTGCACTGATTTCCAGAGTTGCGAAAGCGGCATCATGATCTTTCCGTGTGAAATCAAGGGATCGCACCATCTTACGGGCCCAGACCTGTCATTCACTGAAGTGATGAGGGCATCGTTGTTCCAGTTTCGGAGCGTCGCCCAAACCGAACTCGTCCTGTTCCTGCTGGGTATCTACTGCCTCCAGGAGTTTGTCCCTTGGGATTGTCTCTGCCCTGGTGCACATCGCTCCGGCCAGCAGCTAGCATGTTCCTAACATGCCGAGTGTATCACCAAGTTCCCACGACCACAACCATGACGATCACTAAGAGCGTGGTCAACCGTGACCGGCATTGAGATTCATCATATCCATCAGCTTCAACATCATGTCGTAGTACTTGTCATCGCCATGAACAATCAAACACAGAACGACTGAATGACAAGAAGAATGATGCTGTGGCTTTGGACAAGGCTTTCTCGCACTGGACTCTTGACGGGCCACAGCATTGCTGCAAAAGCACCCGTGATCCCAGCTCTGAGTGAAGCTGGTCACACGTGCACCAACGAAATTTTACAGTCTCTTCCGCCGATCCCTCTGCAGGCCTGCCAATATGTCAGGTTCGGCATGGAGTGCATGGGCTGCACGGTCTCGGATGGGACAGGAATCCAGAAGTGAGGGAGCTTGTAGGTTCCAAAGCCTCTCAAACCCCTGCAGAGATCAAACCAGGAACGAGTCCGGTCGTGCTCCGGGGCGCCTCATCGTAGCTGAGATCTGTCATCATGCTGTTGAACTTCAAGGTCGCCGGTATTCCCTGCAGGAGAGCTGGAGGTATCCAGGGCTTTAGAGCTTTCATGACCTACATGTCTGGGAGCATAGAAAGAAAGACAAAGATCTCGTGCACAACCCACGGCTTCAGATGGGGAAGGGCTCCGATGAGCAGCACTAACAGCATCCCGAAACCCAGAACTGCATCTGCTCTTCGGGGTCCTCGTCCTCCTCCAGGCCCCCTCGAGTGCCTGTGCTCCGGGCCTGAGGCTGTGGGGCATCAACACTCGGGTCTGGAGGTAGTAAGAGACGTGTGCCTTCAACTCTTGGTTGCAGCCCGGTAGCACTCAGAGGAATCCTCATGTGTGCTGCTAGCACACCCTGGCGGCATAGGCACACAAAGGTCTCCCAGGGAAAATGGAACTGTGTCAACCGGGCCTCGTCACCCAAGTCTTTGGTGGCCTTGCTCACGTCCTGCGTCTCGTGAGCGAAGCGAAAGGACTAGGCTGTTGGAGGCCATCAATGGACTCACGGACTTGGACCTCACCCGCCTTTGATCCGAAACCCCGAGACCTCGTGAAACTCCCACAAAAGGGCCATGAGTGGAGCTCCTGACTACCAGGCGATTCAATACAGTCGCCATCCTGCAGGCGTGTTAGGGCTTGGGACGGCTTCCGGATTCAGAGTCACCTCTTGGCCACAAGGATTGAAGCCATCCCCGTGGTTTCTTGTGGACTCACAGGATGCACAACTTGCCAATTGTGAGGCGTAGCAGCCTCAGAACTCAAAGGACGGTTCGTATCCGGAGAAGCATCTTCGGCATTTTCACTGCGTTTGTCAGGCAGAGGCAGGGCAATAGGTGCAAGCTGAACAGGTAGCCAGCAGCCAGCCTGTGGTGAGGCGGTGGTCGGACTGATCGTAGGCACCTCCTGGCATGCCGCACTGACGTCCTCTTAAACTCTGGAAGATGCGGCCGATGAGGCGTCTCCGATCCCTGGCGCCTCGCTGATCGCGTGCATGCTCTTGGTGCTGCGTGAGCTGGCGTTGCCCACACCTAGATCGCTGGCCTTGGAAGAGCGCTGAATCTCCGTAGACCCCCTCTCAGGCTTTCAAGGGCAGAGCACCGAAAACACCGAGGGTAGCACTGGCAAACGCAGGCTCAATGGATTTGCCTCATTTGAGGACCTGGGCGACAGCCCCCAGTCCCCACCTGACACCCCAGAGAGTAAGAATGCTCTCGGCACCGTGCAAAGCAAGAACCCTCACAGCCCTCATGCAACCGACGCTCCTTTTAAAGCGAATCCGCCTCACACTGCCGCGCTACTAGCACCTCGGCTGCGCCGTCAGCTTTGAGAGAAGGCACGCAGCTTTTCATGGCTTAACGTAGCTGTCATTTCTCATCATTAAGAAACTACTACTGCTGGGATATTTGCTCGGCTCGCTCTGCAGCCATAATACAAGTATTTCCGCTCACACCAGGCTCACGTCCATTGCGATGATTCCAATTACTGTTGCTACTGCATTTAAGTCATTCTTGGGGTCGCGTAGAACGCGAGAAAAAACACCCAGAGAAGAATACCTCTAAGACCCTATGAAGGTCCACGCTCGACCGCAGGCGTCACACATACGCATGCGCGTGTGTATGTGTAAGTGTATTCGTGAGTAAGTCTGCATGTATGGTGGAAAGAAAATATGCAAAATTCCCCTGACAGTCAATTACACAGTTATCTACAGGCATATTGAATCTGAAAACTATGCCATCTTTATGTGGCTCCTTGCACCTGTATGCGACACGCCGACTACCCACCATGACCACCATCTTGGCCACTGTTTCGCGGCTTTCCGCACAACCCACAATCACGAACTGATTGATGCGAAAAGACGTGATAAAGTTCCCTTCTCCTGCTGGAGCTGCTTCGGGATCAGGGACTGACTAGAGGTCAGCAGCCTCAAAAAGAAGTGCAGTCTTACCTTGGAAGCCCTTGCACCAAGTATGGGCCACGCGTCGGTATCCTGGTGAAGGCCGTGATAGGGCGGCGCTCCGCCCGTCTCGGACCGATACATCGCATGCAGCGTGCGGAACTCCCGCCGGCCGGACTGAAATCCACGGACCACCTGAAAGACTACCAGGACAGGCATAGTCTCGCCATACCACTGCCGCTAGATACTGCCCAATGCATACAGTCATGGTACAACTACACTTATTACTGCCACTCCTGCCCCAGCTGCTGGCTTGCTGACGCCTCACGAGGTTGACTGGGAGTAGCCTCTTCCCCAGCCAAGTGGAAACCATATGATTCACTATAGATCCCTATTTTGGTAACTTAGTTTAATAAATCCCGTAACAAGAACCCAGAAGTGGAGCCTTGATGTGCTCATCGTCGTTGTGCAGAAAGCGTTGCCAGCGCCTCGCCTCCTGAAGCGCCTCGTCGCTGCAGGCGTCGACGGGCAGATCTTCGAAGTTCTCCTCTGCGTTTCGACCACAGAAAGGTTCAGGGAGATTCGGCTCTGCTTCAGGCTCCGAACAAGCTCCACGTTAGGTAGTCGTTTAGCCGGAGCCGGAAACGGTGCCTTCTAGCCCATTGAAAGCCCATAAGCTATGCGGTTTCACCGCAGGCCCACCTGCAACAGCCCGGCAAAGAAGCGACGGTCTGCTGCCTTGATCTCAAGGTCCTTGCAAGGGTCACGGCTCTTACTGATCAAGGTTCTGATGGCCATGTGAATAAGTCTACAATGATAGACCCATGTATCTTCAGAACCACGCAACCGGCAGTTTGCAACAATGATTGAAACATAAGACACGCTTAACATACTGTTTTATGCTCCACTCTACAGTAGTATAGAGAGATGTATACAAGCATATGCACGGCACTCAAGAATCACAAATGCATTACCTCAACCAACCTTGCCCCGCGTAACACTGCGTTACTACATTGCATTGCATTACATATGTACATTTGTACATACGTACGTACCTGCCTGTCTACCTACATTCCTTCACATTCATTCATTCCTTCCTTCCTTCCTTCCTTCCTTCATTCCATTCATTCTTTCGTTTCATTCTTCATTCTTCATTCATTCTCATTCATTCATTCATGCGTTAATTCATTTATTCATTCATTCGTTCATTCATTCATTCATTCATTCATTCATGCATTCAGGAATGAATGATTAAATGCATTCTGACACTCCTTCATTCATTCGTTCGTTCGTTCGTTGACGCATTTCATTTTATGTCCATCCATTCATTAATTTATTCATTCATTCATTCATTCATTCATTTCATTTCATTTCTTTCATTCATTCATTCATTCATTCATTCATTCAAACATTCATGAATGCATTCATTCATTCAATCATTCATTCAATCAACCAATCATTCATTCATTCATGCATTCATGCACTCATTCATTCATTTAATCATACAGTTATACCATAGCTTAAACCTAAATAACATCACAACACTCCACATTACATTAAAGTCATACGCACCTACATATGTAAGTACATACATACATACATCCATACATACCTACATACATACATACGTACATACGTACATACATACATACATACAGACAGACAGACAGACAGACAGACAGACACACATACACACGTACATGCATATATACATACATTCATTCATACATGCATGCATGCATCTCTCTCGAAACGCAGCGAGTTCAGGTTCGCCTAGCTGTCATTGCAGCAATGCTCTTATTGAGCATCGGCACCTCAGTGGGTGCTAGAACTGCTACGCCACTAACAGGTGCTAGGCCACCATGGCCGTCAGCACCTGTGCATCCGCGTTGGCATCAGATGAGTGATGATCACCGGTAGAAGATGGAACCTCGACAGCGCTGCATAGCAGCAGGTAAGAGTCTTGCAACAGGGAAGAGTGCACGGTGGTGGCAGACGGACTGCATGCTGGAGTGCAGTCATCGGTGTACCACAACTTTTTGTCGAACTGCAGCACACTCCGGTAATGTCCGGATGTCACTTGTGGCCCATGGTGCATGACGACCGCCGTAGCCTGAAAAGGCAAGTGAGGGACTTCAAGAGAGTCATCAGCGTCAAAGAACATAAGGAATTCGTTCAGGACATGAAGCACGGGCCGGAAGTCCTTAACGTGGCGTCGTCGAGCTCCCCTACCTGTGGCACTGAACCTCAGGAGCTGAAGCCAAATGCTCCTGGTATCACGAGTGAGTGCATGCACAGAGGACTGGGTGTGCCACTGATCAATGCAGTCTTGTAAGGATTCTGCACCTGTGATGACAAGTGGAATAGGGCCCGTGTCAGCCGAGCCATGATCGAGGATACAGACGGAACCATGCTCAGAGCGACGCGTCTGCCAGGATCCCCGAAAGCAGGGCAGTTTAAGCCTGGGAAGGAGATGCTGAAGGAACTCAGCAGCATCGGATTGACGCAGCCAGTGGGACCATGGGTTTACCAACATAACCCAGGCGAAGCATTTACCAAGCTCAACAGGGGCAGTGATCCTGTTGAGGGCGCAGTGCAAGCCCCGAAGGGTCCCCAACTCATCAGGGTTCGCGACCTGAAGGCATGCAAGGTGATGCAGAAGAGCTAATACCAGACAGTTCATGTAGCAGATGGTGCCTCGCGGGTTGGTCAGAACCAGGGTGGTCGCATGAAGGCCAAGGCAGGCTGGAGGATGGATAGAGGGTGAAGCGGAATTCACCAATCCTGCTCCCAAAGAAGATCCTGAATCGACGGGGTGAGCTGAGACCGATAGGGACGGTCCCGGCGAAGTCGAGCTGCAAGCAAGTGAAGAATGCCTGAGTTGATGAGGCCGTTCAACTTCTGCCAGATGACATCCCCTGAGGTCCGCAGCTCGATGTCCAGGTGGAACTGAACCCACTCTGTGTTGTAGTGGCCGCTGGGATTGAAGGGCCTGACAGATTTGAAGTTCCGGATGGTGTCGCCGCTCAGGTGAGACTCGATCTCGCTGATTTCCTGTAGGAGAGATTCCGTAGTCCTCGATTCCACCATGGGGACAAGTTCCTCGACCGCCCTTGTCGGATTCCAGCGTAGATAGTTCCATGCACCCTGACTGTCCGTCCATCCCATTTTCTGTGCCTTGGCCTGCATGTCGCTGCTGGTCTGAAAGGCTTTCACGCGGCTCCGAAGCTCCTGGAGCAACTCGCGAAGCATTGTTTCGCGAAGGCTCATGCTGAGTTTGCCCGGCTCGGTATCCATTATGTTCCGCCAGCGGGATGCGACCCGCTGGATCAGCGGCAGTACCGAGGCGGTGCCGGCCGCAAATAAAAGTGAAGTCGGACGTCTTGAGTGATCATCTGCATTTGCGACTCCTGACGCAGCGCAAGGCGTGCGACTTGATAGAGAAGGCGTGTGCCGCTGTAGCTCGGCGCCACATCCTCGTCTGGGCGCGGCCTCTCCCGCTGAGGTCCGTGGCTGCTCTGTCCGCCGAAAGAATCCGACGAGGGTGGCTTGGACTTTCCCCGGCCTTTGCCTTTGCCCTTGGTCGATGAGGGCTTTCGATGACCCCGGTTCGACGGACGATGAGGGCGGGCGGTGGAGCTCATCCTGGGAGAGGCCTGATCTGCAGGATGCATGGGGTCGTCCAGTGTCTCCTCCAGCGGTCCGGGACGATTCCCACGGCGAGGACGCTTGGCATGTCCGGCCTGGGGAGTGGCAGGGGCCTCTGCCGGATGGCAGACAGAGATGAGGTCCGAGAACATCGCGAGTTCCTGGTCTTTCGCAGACTGAGAGAGAGGTCCCTGGTGAGTTTCCGAGGGCAGACTCTGCGAAGGAGTCTCGTCTGTCGGTGGAGGTGCCATGGCCACCCGCAAATATCTCGAGGAAACAACAGGATGTTATAACGTGGCCGCGTTTCCAGTGAGATTGCAAGTCAAGTCGCTGCTCTAGACAGAACTGACACGGTTTGGTGAGAGCTCTACGGAAGATTGCTGCTCGGGCAAGAATGCTGGGCCAGGCAGCACACCATTCTGGATGATTTGCAGACAGGTGCACTTTAACACTGCACCAGTAGAGCACCACTGGCCACACAGAATGCAGTGGTGACGCAACTCATCTCTAAGCTCTGCACTTGCAAGCAAGCTCTGCCATCCAGAGCGTGGGGCCTGAGCCAGAACGTGCTCCCGAGATGCAATGGGAGTGAGCGAGGCTTGACCAACCTGCCTCTGCCATAGACGGTCAGTGGCCTGTGTGCTTGTGCCAGAACCTGGAAGAGCTAAGACGGGAGCGGGGCGCCTTTCTGTCGAAGCAGTAGCAGAGGAAGGCTCAGAAGTAGGCACAGAGGATGGCTCACCTCGGGCCTCAGAAGCAGGCAGTGTGCGAGAGTGAGGAAGAGGAGGTGGAGGCACAGAGTCCTCAGGAACCGTGACATGTAAAGCAGGTGCAGCACCAAGGTCAGGGCAGAGACTCACACAGCGTCTTAGTTGGATATGATCTGCCAAGATGGACCATCTCGTGAAGAGTTTGCCACATAGAGCACATTGTGGCATCCCATGCAACGAGTGCTTCTGACGATCAAAAGAGGGCCCAACAAGGGCAGAGTCAACAGGACGACAAGGGATATGCGAGGCCTGATGTACCCGGAGAGCGCGTAGGTCAGAAAAGCAACTCCCACAGGTCGGACACGAGATACTGTCAGAGGACACAACCGAGGCAGAGGGTACCAGAGAAGCCTCTTTGGTTGCAAAAGAGGAGGCTAGGGCATGAAAAGCCTCATGCAACTTTTGAACAGAGGAAAGGTGTGCTTCACAGTCCGGGCCACCCGCTGCCGAGGTGGTAGTCAATCTGGATATCATGCCAAGGAAGAGACGCTCCAGTATGCATGCCACATGCGGTACCTGAAGCCGGGTGTGCAGTGCCACCGTGCTCTCAGAGCTGAGATGCGATTGCGAACGAGCCACAGCACGAAGATGCCTGGTGTAAACAGCTTGGACCTGGCCAAGTTGTCGCGCCGAGGAGGGGCAGGACATGAAGACCGTATAGCATGGTAGGTACCACACTGGCAGTCCAGAGGCGACGTCGCAATCCAAGGCAGGGAGCAGATGCCTTGGTCAGCAGGGGTCGAAGACGCGTCCAGGTATGCATGCATGCATGCATGCATACATACATACGTACATACAGTCAGTCAGACAGACATACAGACATAAAGTACATACACATGTATGTAAGAAACACGGACGCACGGACAAACAGCCACGAAGATGGCATTATATCCATACATAGCTAGTAGTATGATACGGTCATGCTATAGCCGTGCGGTTGAATTGTCATTCGTCCTTGTTACAGCACTGTTAGTGTGGCTTCAGTACTATCATATGCGCACTGTCACGGCAGTGTTCCGAAGTAATTAGTTGTGTGAAGCTGCACCGGATACCACTGCACTGGAAAATAGTACCGTGCGAACAGCACAGAACTGACTGGAAGGACCGTAGCACGCAAACCTTAATCAGTTTTTGTGCTCCGATGAACTCTGAGTCTAAGTTTCTGTCTCTTTCTAGCACTCTAGCAGTGCTGCGAAGTCCACTGCACAAAGACGACTGTCATTAAGCAAGGCTGAAGGATGGAAAGCACTTTGTCAGCACTGCTCCCTGTCCGACACTGCAGCGCTACGGTGAAGCAAGCAAAGGCTCTTTGGAAGAAGCCTTATGCATTGACAAGCAAACCCCGGAAGCCAAACGTAACCCAGATTTGTGGAACTGTTTCTATTCTCCCTTTGTGCAACTCTCTCCTCACGCATGGACTCGTCGTTCACCTCGCCGATTGCCCAGACACCGCTGAGGGCCCCCTCCGAGAGGTAGCCGGTCAGGCTCCTTGCATGGACAAGTGCAGGTGCGCGTCATTTTCTCGAGTTTCACATGTCTGCTAAAACATCTAGCAGAGTCTCATGGGAAAATAACACAACAGCACGCGCTCTGATATCATTTACTAGCATGTCGTCCACTTCGCCTTCATGATTCTCTGCAACATGTTCCTGTGTCCAAGCGTTGATTTGCCCAAATACGACAGACAGACATGTACGGACACATAATATATAATCTGTGCATGTACGTGCACGCCACGGAGTGCGGACGTTCATGTCAATAACTTGCCTTTGCGGCTTACTTAAGTTTACATAGTCATCTTCACTAGCTGTACGCCTAGGAGGTGTACTGCGGTATAACGAGGTCCCCAGCGCAAGCAGATGGTAAAGGCCTTCCGCCTACGCAAACGGAATCCCTGTGATTCTAAAGCTTGCCAGTGACATCGCTCAACTCTCTAGAGTCGTTTACGTATGAGCCAGGCCACGCATGGGATATGCATACAAAAATGAATGTACGAACATCGGTTATTCATGTGGTTGTTTTGTATGCACGCGGCTGGAATACAGATGGAGTGAGAACAACAAAGCACAGGTAGACACAGATCCGGAGGAAGATGCATAGACACAGACGTCGTTGCTAAATCTCATCCTGCAACACAGTGTGGCCTTCAAGCTTGAAACCCTCAAAATCCGCAAGGCATGCACAGCCCAATCCGTCCTCGGCAGAGCCACCAGCTCCGGCACCAACAGCGGAGAATGCACCTCGGGCGACAAACTTGGGACTGGTCGTGCTCTGGACCTTCAGGCTGCGCGAAGCTGTATCGGGAGTTTTGCAAGGCCACCTGAGCAGCTAGCACCGAAACTTCGGGATTGCAACCGTCCCAACCCAACAGTCAACGATGGCAAACTTGGAGAAACACAATGCTGCTACATGCTCCCCAAGCCATGGCACAATCCTTATTGAACGCTCCTGAAGGCCTGCCATCGTCAGCTGCTCGACGCCGCCTACGAAAACAAACGAACGCGAACGCACAATGTACAAACAGTTGCTGAGAGATGCAAAAAGCTGCAGGGGTAATATTTACTACCACCACCACCACCTACTACTACTACTACTACTACTACTACTGCTGCTACGACGACGACGACGACGACGACGAAGACGACGACGACGCCGGCGACGACGACGACGACGACGACGCCGGCGACGACGACGACGACGACTACTACTACTGCTACTACTACTACCTACTAGAACTGCTGCCACTAGTACAACGAGGACGACTGCTAATGCGGCTCTATTCCATGTGTGATGTGATGTTGTTGGTGGGTGTTGGTGGTGGTGGTGGTGGTGAACGTTTGCAATGACATCGATGTAATGATGGTATAGACGGCATAGTAGTATTGACTAGTATAATTAGATGAAGACTGATATTTCGATGTTCTTTGTTGCTGTTGATGGTGGCGACGACAATGACGATGACGATGCGATGATGATAACGATGACGACGAGGATGATGATGACGATCATGGTGACAACATGTGACAACAACGACGAAGAGGATGAAACAGCTTCTTAAAACTGTCCATGTCTTCTGATTTTCTGATTACCGCTACTGGCTGTTACCGCTACTGACTGAAACAACGCCTGCCAGAGCTACGACAAGTACTGCTGGCACAGCTATCATTAGTGAGGGAAGCTCTGACGTTGGAATTGGCCTTGAAGCCCAACGAAAAACAACGGAGACAGGGCCCTGCCTGGGCTGTAGTATAAAGCCTGCAGCGCCTCCGGGCTGAGCACCAAGCCCGGCCGCAGATCCAGGGCCTTGGGCTCTCGGCTTGTTTGATGGTACTTACGGCTCTACTCATCACCGTCATCAGCAGTACCATCACCACCATATACCACCATTCTTCTCAGCCGCGGCAAACTATTCTGAGCAGGATGAGCACCTTTCGCAGAGCGCCTGGAGGCCAGTTGAAGTTGAGTTCGTGAGGACATCGTGCAGCGGCAAGCGCTTGTGCTTCAATGTGCGAGCCATGTTTACGAGCACGCCCGTGATATGAGCTGCGTTAGACTCCGTTAGACGCTCACCTCTCGGATTCTGGGCATCCGGCGCCCCCCTTGACGAAGGTGAAGGCCACACCTCAGAGTATGCGTTCCAACATGCAAACGGTCCGACGGTCAGTGTAGCAAATGAGGCCAAGAAACGCACAAGCCCCAGGGCGGCAATCATCAGCTTCCAGTCCTTTCTATGAATCTGCACCCAAGGCACTGCCCACTTCCAGCCCAGAACGCTGCAGCTCCTTGGCACTCTTCAGCCGGCTCTTAGGACCCAGTTAGGACTTTTGCCGCAAAGGGCCCCCTGCCCAGCCTGGAGGAAGGCTCCCAGGGCAGGCCGGTGGAGCCAGGCATCCGCCGGCCGCAGCAGGGCCCACTGCTGGCCCAAACGAGCCGGAGCCTGGCCACGATACGCCGGAGCCCGCTCCTGGGTCGCCCCTTGGGCCCCATGCGCCTTCCGTACTGCGAAGTCCTCGAAGCTCACTTCGCTGAAGTCCTCGTAGCGGTGGGGCCACCGGTCCTGAGTCGAGCTTCCATCGGAGCCCTGCAAGCCCAAGCCTGAAACAGCGTCTCCCTCTGCCTGGCCTCGAAGTAATCGTCGATGGTCTCTGGGCCGAGGTGACTGTCCGCCGCGGAAGTTGGGACCTTTGGAGCCTTGGAGAGTGCAAAACAAAGGCCAGGGGGGTTGGAGCTGCCTAGGAGGTGAAAAGAAAGATCGTAGCGCCCTGGTGCATACTGCATTGGAACAAGCTTCCCCCTTTCTTCTTCGAGGGTTAGGGCACATTGAGGAGGTGTAAGTGCCACGTCGAGGGAGACCTTGACATGCCTTGAGGCTTCTGGTGTGCGACTCCGATGTCGGGTGCAAGCAAGCTGCTGGGCCGGGCTCGCAGAACCGGATCCTGCTCGGCTAAGGCGGCTAAGGACGTCTTGGCGTCAAGACTGGTCTGCAACACAGAGACAGGCGGAGACCCCCCCAAAGCAAACATGTGCACATATGCACGGTATGGTATGCATGTCTATGTCTGGAAGCACGAGTATGGTATGGACGCATGTATGTGTATGCATGCGTATGCATGTGTTTGTATGTGTGTGTGTGTG